GGCAAATTCATTTTAAGAAAAGAGTGTCAAACACTTGCCTCGATCAATCCAATCACTTTTATTTCCTATTTTATTTTTGATTTCTTTGAACTTGAGATTTCATTTTAGAAAAATTAACTATTTTTTTTATTATATGAAATGTTTTTTTTTTTATTGAAGAACGGAAATAATAAAAATCCATCACCACATATTTGGTTTTGATAATTATCATTTCGCTTTCTCAAATCCTATTTTGGTAAGTCTATGCCTTACTCGATTTCGCACACATAAAATGTACGTTTCGAGAATATAATTCGTTATCGGTGTAATATCTCCAACATCAATTTCACGAAATCAATGCACAAAATAGATCTGTCTTTTGATTGTTGGAATGATAGAGAAGAAATCAAGACACTTGGAATTGCTCCCACAAAAGATTATTCTGCATCACGCCATCACCGATGGCTATCTTCGGTCAGCAGCTTTTGCTACGGGCATTTCCTCTTATGGGCATATCTTGCAGTAGGGTGAATGAAGTGATACATTATTCTGCTTCACCAAAGATCCCCTAAAGGACAGCAAAACGCATATGACTCCTACAAGAGGGTCACCTATGCACAACCTCAAACAAAAATTGGAATATCATGTTAAAAATTGAAGTTCCATATTAAAAGGTCAACCTTATTAAGAGGAGTAAACCAATCATTTGTAAGTTGGTTTATGTTTACATCTTTATTCGATATGAGATTCCATCTTTTAACAAAAATAACCCGTGAAGGTGGGGAATTTGGATGATCTTTCTTTCCGGTAGTCACTTCCATAGCCACCACGTCATCCCACGTTGCATCCCACAGCACTAAACAAGGGTCTCTAGCTGGGTTGAACTTTTTATGGGCCATAATGTCAGATGTTTGCTGGAATCAACATAAGAGAACCATTAGTGTGGAAACCAGAAAACCATAGTCGGAACAATATGTGTACATCTGATACACAGGACTGAACGGTAGTAAATAAGTAGTTAAATCTGGTTCATAGTACTGTAATATAGGCTGGCTCATTCAGCACTGCTCGGCAAGCATACTATAAGATTGTTAAATTATAATCCATAATAACTGATCCATTGGACCAGTGTTAAATTTTAGTCAGCAAAAGCTTGTCAACATAAATCCTGATTTAAGCAATCAGAATTGACTTTGTAATGTGAAAGCAACTTATTAAAATGGAGAAAAGTTTAAACTATCTTTTGTGACTTTGTATGAATTTCTTATCCATTGATCAGGCAGCTACACCTTTGCTCATATGACCAAGTGCACTACTTGCATTACCTAGTATATCAACACCTGTACCACTCAAATGACAAGCTCTGTGCACAAACGCTAATTGTCAAGGCCTCACCGCCTCAGCAGACAGACCATGGACATACTCGCCCAAATATCTTTGAAGAAAATTCAAAACCTACGAGAACAATTGTCAAAACCAGCTTAATTCACTTACTTTAAAGATGACCAATTTACAAAAACTTATTTCACGACGGCAAGTCAACAGATGGAAAAGGTGTGCAAGCTTTCTTCAGAAGTGTTAAATGATGGTATATCCTGAAATTAAGAAATAACTAATATCAAGAGTGCTTCCATTATAATTCAAGTCGATAAAATTATTCTATGTCCACATGTTCAGAACTGGTCACAAATTCTCAACAAAATGTAAATACAATATGCATCTTACTCTTCCTAANAAGTAACAGTCAGTTTCAATTTTGAAAAGATAATAGAATTCACCATCATGTCTAAGAAAATAAGCATTTAAATTAACCGTTCGGCTTATTCATTATTTCAAACCATACAAAAGAAACTACACCGGTCGACTCAAAACAACATTTGAATAAGATTACATGTTTCTTTAGTCAAGTGGAATGAAGTCACCGGTTCTGTACAAGCATTTCATCTGCTTGCTCTCTTTCCGTAATAATCTTCAACTCTTACCTTCTGCATGCTCTAGATATCTACAAGGGTGAGCAAGCCTGAAAAACAAGATTGTATTTACAAAAAAGAACTTTACTACCAGGTAATCCACATTATTCTCCAAGTCACATGTCCATCCATGCAAGTATACTAATAGTAATTTTTTGTGTAAAGAACAACACAGTTACGAACAATAATATACTTTTAGAGTGACAGTGCTGCAGGATTTTCCCCTCTTCAGACAGGCACTAAGAAATAAAATACGTGCACTTTACCAATCATTTCTTTCACAACTATAAAGTAGGGATTTTTTAGTGCAAAGAAAAACACACTGTTACGAGCAATAATATGAAAAGTATAAAGTGACAATGCTACAGCACATTTCCTTATCCTGCTCGTGCTGAAAAAATATGGATTGACCAATATTATTTGATAATGCTGTAAAACTCACCCGAGCAACCAGATTTTCATAAAGCATACTCTTCATCCTTCCTCGTCCTCAGATGCGTTATGTGCATTGTTCACTTCATTTTGAATTTTCACCTCCACTTCCATTAATGGAATTGGATGTACGGGTGAAGTACCTACAGTATGCATATGCTAAATCAGTATGCATGAAAACCATCAGTGGTCGACGATACTCTTAAATGGTGTTTTCATGAAAATTTTCAACTTCCCACTTCAATTTAGAAACCGTAGTGCAAGCGTGTTGAAAAATACGACACACACAGTTTATAGCATTATCCTAACAAGATCTCATTCAGCCCAATTACTGGTATTATTCCTTCAAATAACACCACTTAACTTCTTCCACATTTTAGAGAAACTAGTAACATGACATCATTAAGCTACACTACAGTCTTGTAATACAAAATGAGAACCACAAATGAAGAAAACCAAACTCCTATATTTTAAGATCCAAAAGATTAACCCTATTTCAACCGTGATTAAAGAATTTTTAGATGGCATTAAATTGACAGTTTTAACAAGCCAATAAAAGAATAAAGAAGAGTGATTCCAATTCTGGCCTACAATGTACCAAAATTAAATATATATGATGCATATAAGGGTAGATTTCCTGTCATTTACAGATCATTGCAGCGCAGCATCAAATAGAAAAATGCTCAACTTGACAACTGATATGGAAAATCTGAATACCCCACTGGCAGCACTTCTCATTCTTAAGAGGTGAAATCCCATGATTATCAAAAACGAATCAGTCTTCATGCAATATATAAAAATCCCAAATATAACGGAAAACCATGAAAATTAATTTATTCACTACAATTTTATCTTTACCCAGTTCTTGCCCAAAATAAGTGTGGAAATCTGAACTTATTCAACCACTATCAAGGTGGGACTTGGGATAAATTCTCATATTCAAAACACATCTGTCACACTAGATCTCAAAATATAAAGAAATCAAAGTTATCTCTAATTACTTCATTTAAATTCAAATTCATTTAATGATCATCTGTCCAATAAAAAAGACACCGCCAAATCATTCAATCTACCAATTTCATCCCGATCCAAATACACACAATAATAAGAAAACATTTTTCATTACCTTCAACGAAAAAAGTAGAAGAGGGCCATCCACGTGCAGAGGTAAACGACATCGTTTCATCCTCCGTCAAAAGATCAAATTGCGGGCGAATCTTCCCCGCTCCCACCCCAGAAGACGCTAATTTTCCAATCACCTCAATCATACCATGTGGATGTCTCATAGTACTCCTCCGGGGCGGGACCCAGTAGGAATACCCAGGTAAAAATGGGAGCCAATCGGGTGCTGCACGGCGCACGATGATACTCTGGATAGCCTCCTCGAGTTTCTTAATCCCGACCGTGAGTACCTCCTCGGGCGAATCGGTATGGGAAGAGGCAGATGACGAGTCGACTTCAAGTTCGATAAGTTGGGCCTTGTGGGGCTTGTTGGAGCGGTGTCGATGGTGGCTGATTAGGGCCCCAGGGGTGATGGATGCGGGGTGGAGAGAAGACCGTGGAAGGGTTTGAGAGAGTATTCGAGACATAGCCATTAGATAAAGAGAGAGAAATGGAAGAGTTGTAGAGAGAGAGTGATATGAGATTGGCTATGTCTAGAACATGGATAAACAGCCAGTCGGAGTTGGTCCGGGTCACTGTGGAGTTGTCAAATCCGTGGGCCAATAACCCGAATAATCGGGTCGGATTCAATTTTCCAAACTTTCGACCATATTAATTAATTATCTCCCGTATACTTTTTTTTTTTTTTTTTTAATCAAAAGTTTTCTTAAAATTAAAATTGTGTCCAAGATCATTTAAGAAATCAAATTAAACTCTTACAAACTGGGAATGATCCCAAGTGTGGTTTAAATGATAAGATCGTTAAAGTAGGTCATATATGTACACATTTAATTAGTCTCATCATCCTTCAAAACATCTCGTTTCATCATACAGGGAAAAAAGGCAAATGAAAATACATTAAAACCCTCAAAATGGCGCTTATGTGAAAGGCCGGTGGATTTGCGGAAAGTAATGAGTGATTATCTAGAGTGTACATGGTTCTATTTAGTTCTGGTTCCAAAATAACTGAATCGAACTGAACCATAAACCAATTGATTCTTTGATAATATCCGATTGTACCTTGATTCTGAAGTCTTATTTATTCAAGGATGATATGTCGTGCGTAAAATTCACAATCTATGAGTTACACGAAATATTGCATTATAGACTAATGCAGCTCTTACGTTTAACAAGTAGAAGCTTTGGCACGAAGCTTGTCGTAACTTGGTCCCCCCAAGTCTTATTTATTCAAGGATGACGTGATCTCACTATGAGTTACATGGGATATTGCTTCATAGATTAACGCAACTCTTAGGATTAACAAGTAGAAGACTTGAGACAAATGTCATAGTACCTTGGTTCCCAAGTCTCATTTATTCAAGGATGATATGAAATGTCGTGGGCACGTGCACAATAGCTCTCATCTGCATTCCTTTAGTTGATAGTGTGTTCCTTCTTAACTTGACATGGCGCGAATAGTTTAAGCACACAAACCTCTGTCTTCAATTGTCATCATGTTTTTAAAGAAAACAATTTGTGTGTTTTGATTTAATTTGTCTCGATCAAAGCCATGAAGTTGCACCAGTTCAGAAGCTAATATGGACATGAAGGATGTCGAATTGTTTGAAAAATGGTGAGATATTTGAAACACTCGATTTCAAATCCAAAGATTCAGTTCCACAGGCCACACTAACGCTTATGCCTCCAGTTCCAGAACACAAAAAGCTCGATTCACAGCCGAGGACTCTATAACACAGGGTTTCTCAAGGCCATAGCCAATTTAAGAGCATGAAATATCTGAAGTACAGTTGTTGAGAGAAAGCAAGAGAGTTGAAATTGATACTACCCCATCTTAGGCCATAAAAGAAAAGGAAAGTTGACAATAAGCACTTTGCATAGAAACTATAGGTCAAAGAAAGTAGAAGAGAATTTGTATAACACCATTAATGAGCGTTAAGCACTGATGAACATGGTTGTCCACTGAAATTGTTAGAAAACAAGTCAATTTGCAATAACCTAGTGATAAAACTTATACCACTTGTTATGAATACTAAATCCAAAAAAAATATGATAAGATGAAAAAAATCACAAAAACACAAGATTTAATGTGGAAACCCAAATTCGGAAAAAACCATGGATAGAGACGGAAAATTCGCTATGATCAATAGCAAAGAAATATAAAAAGATATCGCAAGACTTCAACCTCTCAAAATATGCAACTCTCTCTCTATAAACTAGATCCTCTCACTTTGATTTTAAATGCTCTACAATGTTTTGTTATGTTATCTCAAGGCTATATCATGTGGAGTATATATAGTAGCCTAATTTTGGTCTTTTGAATGAAGTAAAATACATGAATTTCAATTTGAATCGCAATAGGAGATTTTTCTCCAGAACAGGTGGCGCTGGCTTCTTGCCTTATTCTTCCGCTTTGGGCGCCTAGGCGCCATCTCTCTGATGCGAAAAACGCCTAAAGCCTTTTCATCAATTTCGAAATCCTTTTTCCAATCAAACTTTCAATCTTTGATAAATTTTAATTCATTTTCAAATCGGACTTTCAAACCAAAATTGTTTATGCCTCATTTATCAATCAAACAACCTAATCTTAATCCTATTCCAAATAGGAATTTGTGTCATACTCCAACAATCTCCATCTTGACACAAGTTCCAATGCAAGAAATTATTATTCAAGCAATTATCCAAGTAAAGTGTTCCAAACACAAAACTCCACCTCTTCCACCATGTTCTTCCCGGCATACTCAGCAACTGTAAACAAAATACAAGCCTTGTTTACCAACATATCTACATTGGGCCCTATATCGGTTTGAATCATCCCGTTTGCTAGCAACTACACCCGAGTTACCAAACCTACTTAAATTTTCCCCACGAGCAACCTGATCACTACTATCTCCATCCGAGTCAACGTTTATCAAACCATAAGCAACCATATTAGCCTTATTGAACCTCTCCGAGGTCTACACCTCCTTTGGCAATAGCTTCATCAATCGTGATCGTAGAACCCTACAAGACATAATAGGGACTTCATCTACCCCTTTATCACAACTTTGACACCATTGCTAACTTTTAGAACTCCACCTCCATCTGTACACATGTACCCCTTTGAATCAAGAGTACTCAAAGAGATAATATTTCGCTTCAAGTCGGGAACATGTCTTACATCACCAAGTGCCCTAACGGTCCCATCGAACATCTTGATACTGATCTTACCAATAACAACTATCTTACAAGGCGAATTATTTTCATTACCAAGTAATCCCTTGTAACAGTTTCATATGTTGCAAACTAATCCCTATTTGGGCATATATAAAAGATGCAAACTGTATCAAGAATTCAATCATCGTCAAGTTTTGAGTTACTGTCAGAAACAACCAAAAGATCTCCATCACTGTAGTCTTCTTCTACAAGACTAGTTTCATCAAAATTACCAGGTTGTCCCTTCTGATCTATAGCAATTAATTTATTCTCGTTCTGCCACTTCGGACAATCTTTCTTCTTGTGCCCCTTCTTGCAGAAATAACAGACTATATCATAGTTATTAGTTTTAGACCTGCCCTTTCCATGACCAACTGAATACCTCTCATGACCAACAAGACCCTCTGCTCGGCCCTCTGTTTCGACGACTAGTTGCTTCATCTTCTCTCTAGAATAAAGCCGTCATGAACTCGTCAATTGTGAGAGTATCTAGACTATACAAGATATTATATTATTTGAATGTCACATATGAAGCGAGAAAATAGCAAAATCAACCTTTAAGTTCTCTTCGTCATACTTGACTTCCATGGTCTCTAAATCAGCGATAATTTTTTGAATACAGATAGATGACCTTCTAAAGATCCACCTTCTGACAAGCGATGGTTGTATAAACACTTCTCTAGATGCAATTTGCTAGTTAAAATCTGAGTAATGCACAACTGCTCCAATTTTAACCATAATGCAGCGGTATTGTTCTCATTTACCACGTCTTGAAGAATTTGATCCGAAACATGAAGATGTATCTGTGATAGGGGCCTTTTGATCCTTACACTGTTTTTCCTTCGTGTCAAAGTTGAGGTTATTTTGTATAGCCCCAATAAAGTATTATCCAAATTCAATTGGGCAAGAACTGCTCGCATCTTGATATGTGCAAAGAAAATCTAGTGTTGTGATCCAAAAACGAAATTTTAAACTTCATATTTGCTATCTCGAAACAATCAAATCTCATTCTGAGTTGATCAAACCTTGTTTTAATACGAAACCAAACTTACTTTCCCAAGAAATTCGATCTTGGCTCTAATGCCACTTGTTTATATAACAAGTCAATTTGGAACAACCAAGTGATATAACTTATACTACTTGTTATGAATATTATAGTCAATAAAATATGACAAGATACAAAGAATCACACAAGAACACGAGATTTAACGTAAAAATCCAAATACGGAAAAAGCATGGTAGAGGCTGAGAATATACCATGATCAAATAACAAAGAAATACAAAAGAATCTCGCAAGACTCAACCTATCTCAAAATATGCGAGTCTTTCTTCCTATAAACTAGATCATCTCACTTTAATGTTATACAATATTTGCTATGTTATCTCTAGGCTACATATAGGAACTTAATTATGGTGTTTTGAATAAAGTAGAATACACGAATTTCAATTCAAATCGTAACATGAGAGTTTTCTCTCGAATAGGCCCCAAGCCCGACGTCGACTCCCTGCCTCATTCTTTCGTTTTGGGCGCCTAGGCACCATCTCTCTGATACAAAAAAGGCCAAAACCTTTTCATCGATTCCAAAGGCATTTTTCAATCAAACTTTCAATCATTGATAAATTTTGATCCCTTTTCAAATCCAACTTCCAATTCAACATTATTTATGCCTCCTTTATCAATCAAATAACCCAATCCTAATTCAAATAAGAACTTGGGTTATACTCCAACATAAATAGATAAGATTTTCGAATTTTTTTAATATTGTTCAATACTATTCAATTTATTGAATTCCAATAAAGCATATCATCAAGGTCTTTAATGTCATAATCCAAAACTTTTAAGGGCAATATCTCTATTTTACAATTCCATCTTTCTGCTTTAGTCCCATAATCATTCAGTGGTGATTTCTAATTTATTATCAACCAAACTGCCTCAGAAATTAGACAAAAGTGCTCCAGATTTTCATCAAAACTTTAAAGTTGATGTAATACAAAAACTTGAAATAGTTACATGAGCTAAAAGTTGCCAAAAGCTTGAGCTAATGGCATGGGTCAAAATGGGACATAAGGCAAGATTATAGAGCCTCACAAGTCACTAGCTAAATCATTTCCACTTATATTTGCAATTCAATGTTTTTCTTTTTCTTTTTTTCCCCGAGAGTTGCAATCAACACTGTAGCAGTGATCTTATTTCACAGGTTTAAAACATATGAGTAGGGTCTCCATAATTATGTAATTTTCTCACTGACGTTAAGAGTTCTTGTGAATCAATACT